TCTCTCATCACCATCTGGTGCGGTGGTGCCATGACATTTAACTAACAGCTATGTGCTAGGCAGGTGGCCATTTCATTTGAAGCCAGGCCATGCCCCGGGGACAGACAGTGAGAGATGAATGAAGGCTCATAGATGAAGGTTTCATCGCTCTCATTGCTTTTATTGCGTTTCTACAACACAGACACGTAAGCATGATCAAGCATTCGGCAGCATCAGCATGTGCAAACACACATGCCGGGATGTAAGAGCGAGTGCAGCTACAAAGAAATAAAATCATTTAACAATCAGCATCAAAGCCAGACTGTTCAATAAGAAACTTTATTATGTGTATGAAGAATATATTCTAATCCATTTTAGAGCTATTGACAATTGACATTGTTCTGAAAACACTGTAAGGATTTTTTCTCTTTGCATGAAATCAAAAGCGCAGGTTCAGGTAAAAAACAGCAGCTGGAGTTGCTTTTTGATCATGAGCAGATCATCAATTCTTACAAAGTAAACTGGAAAATATGTCTCTGACCTGATGCCCCTATTGACGAGAGATGTTTGTCAGCGCCTTCCAAAATCATTACAAAAATGATTCACCGTTTTCTGATCTGCCAGCACTATGGTTAAAGCTGCTTTAATCAATAGTTTTACATTAAGAATGAATGAAATGGCACAGTGATGAACCCACAGAAGATCTTTACCCGGCTGCAGTTTTAGCTCATTGTTTTGGTTACATCCACTTTTTCTGTTTTGATTTAATCTCACTGTGCTCATCAGCGTCAGACCAACCACAGCAGGCAGCTGTTCAACAAAAAAAACAAAACTCTGGTAAAACCCACTGTATGCTATAGAGGAACACGTAGATATTTCCCTCAGAAGCCGGTTGAGATAAACTTTACACGGTGATAACATTCAGTTTAGTGTTTACAGCTTGTTTATGTAGGTTATTGTAAGTTGATGCAGGTTTAAGGTTTGGATAGGTTCAGGCGCAAAGTATACTTGCTTAAGATTACATACAGAGGTTTTACAGCAGTCTATCAGTTATCATTCACACTGCTAAAAAAGAGTTCCTGTCAAGTAAGGGTGACCAATCCTGATTTTCTGGTGAACACTGCAGCTTAGTCCAAGATCCTAAAGCTGACTGGCAATCTCTCTAATCACCAGAGCAGTCTGCTGCCCTTTCTAAATGGTGCGTTTCAGGAACTGCAGGTTAACTGCCAGAGAGCACTGAATCGTTCTGGTTTGACAATCTTTCTGATTCCCATCAACGGCAAACGATAGCACCACAAGAGCCAGGCTGTTTTTTAACCGGGTAAGTAACCTAGACAAATGATTTGCAGCAGGGGCCTAAATGGACTCTTATAGACTCCCTGAAGCACTACTTCTGACAAGAAGTCATTCATCACATTACTAAATGGCTTGTGTATTTCTGCTACAATGGCTTACACTAACAAATACTTGCCACTGTGTATTACATAAACAAAGGATTGATTCAGTGCACTGGCCATAACAGACTACATGAAACACCTGAGTAACTCAAAAATTCCTACTCATCTGTAGATTTAAAGAACTCATCTTTAAACCACCTAAAACGCGATTATACTATCAAAATGAAAGCGCAACAGAGCATTAGATGAATTGTTTTGACTGAGTCTCTCTTGCCTTAAGTGTTAAGTCTTTCTCCCTCAGATGACGGACAGCTCTTATGACGTAGATAAATTGCTTTGCTTGTCTACATTTAAATGTCTCCTATAGTAGCTGGGGAGACAATAAAACACCACAGGGAGGGCCGGATCTGAGGGCGGAAGAGGAGAGAATGATTTGCCCCTTTCATTTTTCCTTTTCCTTCAGAGTGGCATTCATCACCATTAGTGTTCATTAACATGAGTTAGTGCTCGTTAGACAGCGGTGTGCCAGCAGGCATCTGTAGCTTGCTGCCAGCATATCTCCTCGCTGTAATAGACACTGACTGAATGTGAGAGTGGTGGAGGGATGTGAAGATGAGAGAGAAACAAGGGGAGGCTAAGCAGGGCAGCGAAGGACTTGACAATGTGTGTCTCCTAAGATTACCCCAAATATGTCTTCGGGAGACTAAAACTGTTTTAAAACTTGAACCATCTCTGCTGAAGTGAAAAGTAAAATACAATAAAACAACAAACAGTAGACGGGTGAAGCTGTAGAAAAGATTGGATAACATTGGATTAGTGCTGTCATGCTTTGATAACTAACAATTGAACAATTTCTAAAGCAGAAATGTCTATAATTCAATAGTTCCAGAGTTATACTGTTATACATTTTTGGGTTTTGGATTCTTGGTCAGATAAAACAAGCAAATTAAGGATGGCTTGAGATTTTCCACATTTTTGTGACAACATATAGACAAAACAACTGATATTATTATTATAGTTCTAAATTCACTGACAATGAAAACAATTGTTAGTTGCAGCTCAACACTGGATTCAACAAAGGGCACATTTGCATTGATGACAAACTTCTAACACCATCATATTCAGAGCATGTTACTGTTTATAATAAGCATCAGTAATAATTACTGTCTGGCATTCCTGATGCAACATATAAAGTAGATATAAAGTAAGCTTATACATTAAACAATCCAGGGCACAACAGTGTTTGTGTAGAACCTGAAGCTCTGTGTGTTGGACCATGAAGAGATAAGACAAAGGCTAAAGGTCCTCTGTAACAGGAGCTTTCTTGTCTTCCCTTCTTCCAATCCACCTTCATCCTGCCCTTTCTCCTTGAGCTGTTGTTCACATCTGGAGCTAAAGAAGCACCTTTTTCTGCTTTAATGAATTCTCAGGGCAGATGGCCACGTCATATTTCTCTGGCAAAGACCGGCGACAAACATCGTCTCCTTCTGCTAACAGCCCCTTCGCTGCTCTGCAAGAGCCATTTTTTTTATGATGGTCAGTGTCAATTAAAGCAGTTGAAAATTGCCACCCCCCTGTTGCAGGGTACATTTACTGCACAGAGGGAAACAGCAGGTATGATGACATAGTGACACCAGCTGGCATGACTTCTGACAGCAGTGATGCTATGAAGCAGGCTAATGGAGGAGATGGATGTTTCTGAAAAGCTGCCATTTTGTGGTCCTAACAGCTAGTGGCTTTTATGTTTTACTGTGTATTCACAAAGTGGTGCTGTTTAGTTTTCTTTTGGCTGGAAAAACAAGCTTGTTTTTTTTTTCCTTTCAATGCAGGAGTACTGCAAAATTCATTACTGACTCAGAAATCAATTATTTCTTCTATTGATTGGAAGAATATACACCCCCTGTGTTGCCGATATTTATATTTATCTATTCTCTAGCTTCAAGGTGTTAACAATTTTTTTTTTGTTTCTGTACTCCCACAGCTGAATTGGAATTTTTATGGATACAAATAAAAATGTATCAAATGTAATAATAGAGAGACGTAATTAAGGTAGTGATCTGAGTGGCAAACTTACCAAAAAGCAACTCACTTATCTGAATAAAAAAAAAGTAATTACTATATGACAAAAATAAAATCGACAAAGTTTCTTGTGTCAGCTTGACTATCCTCCCTCTTGTATTGAATTTTAATTTCCTTTTAATCAGCTGAATCAATAAAGGGAATATGATGGGTGCCCAAGACTAAATTGTAATTTGTATTGTAATCTCCTGTGTTCTGCAGGACAGACCGCATCAAACTCTATTTTTAAAATAAAGCTATATGCTTACATACAGAACTGTGTATCTGTCTAGTTATAGAGGAAATAACATTCCCTGTAGTAATGCATGGTTTCCTTTGCATGCTCAGGTCCTATCAGTTTCATCCTTCAACAACTGATCTGTTTTCAGTTTTCCTGGTACCAGAGTGCATACAGCCACAACATTTAACCAAGCAGAGACAGGCGCCACAGTGGCTCAGTGGTCAGTGCTCAGGGAACCCCAGCAGGACTGACTGGGACCTTTCTGTGTTGAGCTTGTTTGATTGTATCCTCCCACACTCCAAAAACATGCATCTTACTGCTATGGACCAAGACAAGGGCCTCAGAACTTGAGACTCTGGATGCTGCCCACTGGTCTGTAATAGCGCTATAGGTCAAATGCAAAAGACAAAATTGCCTGCAGAGCTAATAAAATATAACTTAACTCGACTAAATTGTTTAATAAAAGCCATTCCATTTCAATGTAATAAACTTGGAGGTAAGGTGCTCAGGGAAGTAGAAGAGCGTAGGAGGTAAGGCTCTACTCTCTTTGGTTACCATCTAGGATTTTAAACAGGCTTCATGCTAAAACTGAGTACTAACAAACTCATTATGATACATTATGCTGGCTCTGAATGACAATAAGTCACATTCTAGAGTGCAGTGTGGCGAAAGAAAGAGAGGGATGAACAAAGAGTCTGGAGGTCAGCCAGAAGAATGGGCAGTTGAACAGTACCTCTGGTCCAAGTTTTGACTGAAAGCTGACTGTGCTGTCTCTCACTAAATCTCATTCAACCCCCCTCCATTCCTCATGTTCCTATTTGTTCTGCTATTTTTCCTGCAGCCTTTTTCTTTGATCCCCATCTGACAGTGGGAGAAGATCTTCAGCTCATTCTCTGCTTGTTCAACCATCTGTCACACGGGCTGACTTTGATAAAAACATGGGTTAATGATGTTGCCAAAAACGACATTAACAATGATGCTCAGCATTTTGTCATTACAAAGCTGTATCATCCAGTCAGTCATTCACTGATGTACCAGATGTTACAAAGCCTTTTGTGACAACACTCGTGGCAATGACAGATCTATAAAATGCATGTATAGGGCCAAGATAGTTAAAACAGATCATTTCAAATAACCATGTCAGGTGTGATATATGGTGCACATGTTTATGAAAGAATAAAAATGTCTGTTCATGTTAAGTATGAAAAAAAGTTGAGTGAATGAAATGGATAGAGGTTGGATCTAGCAGAACGCATTCAGAGGTTTCTAAGCAGTTGTAGTAACTATACAATTAGAACAAACAAAGAGCACCAAAAGTAACCTACCTGTATGTTGTCAAAGGATGTTTTGTTGGTGACGTCATACAGCAAAAGTAAAGCTAGAAGAAAGTAGAAGGAAAGTTTAAGTGTAATGTTTTAAAATGACAGCAAATAATTTTAAATTGTAATATGGTTTGGTAGAAATAATTCTCTGTTTAATTTAGTCTTTCACCGTGATGTCTCAACTCCCTTTCAAATTAAATTATTTAAGAGTTAATTTTCATTCTGGACACATTCATTTCTCTCTCTTGGCCTGTCTAAGTCCTGCATCACAATTGGAAAAACTCAGAGACCAGAGTTAAGACTTGGTCTTGACTGGTTTGGTTTTTCCCCAATTAAAAGCACTGCTGCTCTACAAGGACTCCAGGTTGTCCTTCATTTGTAAATGAATGTGAATACCAATATAACGATAATAGTCCAATTAAGGCATTTGCATTGTCAGTAACCATACTTCCCCGACAAAAAGCTCGGAAGTTGTTTAACAGCTAATATCACAATATGTTTAACGTTTGTTTTTCCACCAGCATCTGCTTATCATTATTTAGACGCCAAAACTTCATTTTCTTACACTGATGTTTGTTGAAATGGACAGAATTTGAAACTACTACTACTACATGAGATGTTATTTTTAATATTTTATACATTACCCAGCAGAATTTTTCTCCATTATGTTTACTCTTATGACCTTAATTCAAATAAAATAACATGTTTAAGTCACTTAAATAACAGATATATTAATTTGAGTACTGCCTTAAAAGGACCAGTTTGTAGTTGCAGAGCGCAACTCCCTCACTTCACCTTCCCAATGAGTAAACATGGTGGCCCCGAAATGTGAGAAAAACACACCCCTATTTAGAGCCATTGTTTGGTTTGTCCGTTGTGTAACAAAAACACAACCATTCTTATTCCCCTGTAATTATACACTAATGAAAACTTACCTATGTATATTATATTCAGGGTATTTAAACTACTATGAAAGAGTCTCAGTTTAATACTGATGCCTCTATAGGACCGACACAAACAAACAAGACCACCAGTGAGAAGACTGGCTATTCATACATAGATATTCTTCATGCCTGTCACTTGAAATCAATGGCTTGAGGCAGTGGAACCGCTTTTAGCCACAGGGGCCGCCAGAATCAACACTAAATGTTCCTTGTAGGAGCTTTAAGTAAAGGTCTGAATGCACGACTTTTATTTGCTACGGAGTATTACTGTACAAGTAGTATAGCTACTTTTACCTCAGTAAAATTGCCGTTTGTTTAATTTTATTAAACACAAATACAGTAATAATATAATAATAGTAACAGTAATTTAGCAATATCCATCAAGGGCCCTAAGGTTGAATAAAGGCGCAGGAACAATTGAATTGAATTGTATTGAACTGAACAACTTTCAGGCTCTTATCATGGCTGTAGTTAGTGTGCTTTACTGGTGCATATTTCCATGTTAATCAAGTTAATCAAATTACCACAATCCAATTGTCATACAGTCAACATATGGCTTTTTAGCAGTATAGATATCAAATAACATATGCTATTCCAAAATGATTTTTATGTAGTTTATTTGGTATTAATGTTAATGGTAGTTCAATGTAAAGTCCTCTACCTCCATTCATTTATCCTGCTGTTATCTCAGCTTGCAGATTGACCTTATAGTGATTGTACGGGAGCACATGTATTGGATATTTTAATATTTATGGCTTACTCGGCGCTCTCAGTCAGGTCTAATAGTTGAACTCATGAATAATTCGACACACTCAAATGAGCCCAAAACAACAGCATCAAAATGCCATCCTGTGCAATTTCAGAGCTCGCTGGAGGTTTTACTGAACCAAACTAATTATTGACTGCTAAATTACACCTTACCATGAGAACATAAAAGTGGGACTAATCCATAAATATTAAAATGGTCAATAGATCCTTTCTTGCTCTTTCAAACTCTGGCTCTGTGTGTGTACGTGGTAGCCCCTGTAGCCTTGAGTTTGTGCCTCCGCCAACCATGTGGATAAATAAAAACAAATACTTATTGCCTATCGGAGTGCTCCCTTAAATTAACTGAAGTACGGAATACAGCGTTAAGAAAATAAAACAGATGGAACAAGTGTTTGCTCACACACATTTGCCCCAGGTTAAAAGAGTAATCATTTACCAAGAAATGGATCAGAGAGAATCAGAAGCATGTGACTCAGAAATCAGCCAGGTCAAGCAAAGTGACTGCCAGAACACAGCAGCCAGTCAGCTGACTGACTGCAAGGGAGGGATGGGGGGGGGGATGATGAAACACACC